TTTCCTGAAGATAGAAGAGTTTGTTGAATCTGACGTGACATGTTCGTACGAACTCTTTGTACGAACAAAAGTAAGAGAAATTTAGGATAAGAATACGAACATGTTCTTGCATGAGGCCCAATGTCTACGCACAAGACAGGTAAAATTAAAAGCAGTTGAAAATAAAACTATGAAAGTGAAATCACAATTGGTTTAAAAATTTGGCAAGTTAGAGATGTCAAAATATTATTAGTGTTAAATATGAGGCATAATACTGTATGTTCTTTTTGTTTTTGATATTGTATAATTATCACTACTTTTACAGGGTTCTGTATGTTGTATTCCTGATTAAATGCAGCAAAATAAACTATTTCAAAGGTAACAGATCTTTGTAATACTTGGTTTATTTACATAATGACTTTAAGTGCTGGATGTTCGGCCCCTCAGCTGTTGACCTGCAGTAACTGTGGCGTCTGGAGAAATTTAGATGAATAGCCCTGACCTAAACATTACAACAACTTTAAAAAGACATTTGTTTTGTTTAGAACAAGGTGTCTCTCCTTCCTTATAGACCTACAGCCATCTGGCTTGATCAACTCAAATATACAGGATGATATATACTGTTACAACATTTTACAATAAATAAAAATAACAAGCAAGATTTTCCTTTAACTTGAATAACTTTCTTAAACATGGAACTGACAAACTTTTCATTTGAAATGTAAACTGTAACACTTTTAATTCAGTATTGATATTGGTATCGGTTCAGAGTACTGGGGCGTTTTTTAATGAGTATGAGTAATTGTTAAAACACTGGTATCGGGCCAGATGTACCAGTAATGATATCAAGACACCACTAATCACACATTATCTAATAGTTGGTTGATGATAAACTGTTRTTTATTAACACTACAGAAAACAAAGTTATGAAAGTGCAAGCGATTGTTTTAATATAAACAATTCTCATATTTGTGAGCAAAACCAGTGAGACATTTAGGAATCCAGCAAAAACAATTAGGCAACTTGTTATTCTCAACAGGATTTTCTGTTTGTCACTGCTGAGATGATTGTTCCAACACAAACGTGTTTGTTGGTCAGTGGTTACAGATCAGAAAGTACTGTGTGGTGAGTCARACCTCAGCAGTGGATTGATATTGGTCACAGTGTTAGGTCCCAAGAAAAAATAAATCTGTTGATGTGATCATTTTAGGGGTTTGAGGTTTTTAACAGTTTATGTCTACTCTTCTAAATCAACGGATAAAAATGTCTTACCACTTCAAGTTCACTAAATCTTAAAGGTTTTTAAATAAATCCTAAGAATAAAGCAAACCTAAAATAGCACTGCTGATTTATTTGACATTAATAAAGTTTATTTAGCTTAACATTTGGGATAAATAAAGATTTAGCAGGAAATCAGATTTTTACACTTTTCCCTTTCTTCCTCCCATCTCCAAMAGATTTCACCAGGTCAGCTTTTTTATTAAAAAAAAGAGCACCCAGTTCTAGCATTCAATCCTACATTAAACTACATTCCTTAAAGCTAATTTACCCATAACAGTGCTTTTGTTTTTTTATTCATTGACTTGTAATTCCTGTTTTGTTGCCAAATATTTTGCATAAGACACAATGATTTGACGTTCAAATTTATTAATTGTGAGATGATTTTTTTAACCATTTTATTCATTAGATTCAATGAATCTTTAGAGTGAGTGAAAAAGACGAGGCTAAAGATTTCTCTACTAACTGATCTGAGGTATGGTGTCGTTAACTCGCACTCGATCAGTACAAAAAGCAAATGTGTGTTGTCACTTATCAGCACATGTTAACTGTTCCTTTACAGATTTCCACTCTGAGTTTAACCAAACTATGCAGTAAATCTCAGAAACMTTTGCAGATCAGCAAGGATTGTATTAGGTTCACTTTGATACTCACATGAAATTCGTACATTTGAGTTTACATGTGAACGCTGTGTCGACAATCAGTGTGAACGTTGTGTCGACAATCAGATCCCCCGTAAAAGTGACTGCATCGATCTCCCTGTGAAAATAGATGGAAGAAAAAAATTGTTTTAGTAAATGTTGGGCTGAAAAGCAATTTAAGACTTCACATAGGTTTTTTGTGATTTTTAAATAATCAAAAATAAAATATATGACTAATAAATAGAACAACCCAAACACTTTTGTTTTACTTTTTTTTGTTTCAAACAACTTAATAAAGATGCAGAATCAATGTCTGTCTCTGCAGAACATGACGTGGTGTTTTGATAGTGTTAAAAAGATTTTAAAAAATAACATCAGACATAAACTTCAAGCATGCAGCATTTAAAATATAACTCATCTTTTTGAGTACTTATTTGTAAAAATGAAACACAAATCCTGGGTAACTTTGGGATAGTTCTGAGTACCACTTTACTCACAGAAAGTAAAGAACTAAAGGTAGTTTTATCCACTGGCTGACACTGCCACTCTGTGGCCATTAGAGGCTGTGGAGCTGCTGTTGATCCCGAGGAACACCATCTATTTCACACAATCATATATGTTCCATGTTTCCATTATATGAGTTTMTTTTATAGAAAAAGATAAATTCATAAATGTATTAGTATTGTACTCATAAACATCATATTGTCACTGTATTTTGTGATGTTGTCCTATTTGTTTTTCTAGTTCAACTTCATTGTACATGTTTGTGCAATGACGTTAAAGACTGCTCTATTCTTTAATTGCATCAGGTTATTTTAAAGTCATTTTTGTGCATGAATCATGCAGATATTTCATAATCATTTTTGGGCAAGTGGCAGTGGTTTTGAATACAAATGGTAGGGTTAAATTATTTTGTACAAAAAGACAATCATTTAATACAAATGATATGTTTCAGGTTTGGGCTACCACACTGACTGAAAAGTTGAATATATACTGTTGATATTCTCTAGTTRTGAAAAAAATGCAGTTCTTATTGGAATAATATGGTATTCACTGTTTTCTCCAAATACATGTCAACATACAGTGGGGCATAATTGAGATTTTACTTATAACTTAACTTTACTTACTTCTACTCCTTACATTTTTACACAATTATCTGTACTTTCYTCTCATTACATTTTTAAAAAGGTAAGAAGTAGAAAGTCGTTACCTTTATTTCATTAGGCTTGTTATTGTTAAAAAATATTATCCTGATAAACTGTATCTCCTGGATAGAGTAAATTTAATTGTGGTTGGATGAGACGTATACATTTAAACCATTCTGATACTGTTTTAGTTTGTAAACAATCCTTCACAGAATGACACAAATCATGTCACACTCCAGCAGGACATACAGTAGCAGATATTCTGTATGTTGTATGTAGCCTAGTATGAAGATGCATGGTGGCATGCATATTTACTGCTAATTTTAAAATCAATACTTAAGACTTTTACTCAAGTAAGATTCCTAAAGGAGACTTTAACGTTAATCAAAGTATTTTTTTGGTAAGATACTTGTACTTTTACTCAAGTATCACTTTGAGGTACTTTATACAACACTGCCAGTGACCCTCATGACCCTGAAAGGAAGAGGATGGATGGATGGAAGGATGGATGTATGGATGGATGGATGGATGGATGGATGGATGGATGGATGGATGGATGGATGGATGGATGGATGGATGGATGGATGGATGGATGGATGGATGGATGGATGGATGGATGGATGGATGGATGGATGGATGGATGGATGGATGGACTTATATAGTGAAAATAGAATGTATCCACAGATTTAGCTTCTTTTAACTATACTTATCTAAACCTGGAAGAAGCCAAATTTAATACTTATTTTTTCAAGACTTCAGAACCCTGTTTGCTGCAACAATATGGATTTCCATACTAAAAGAATAATTTTCTTTACAGAAAATATTATTATGGTAAGTAATGAAACTAATAATTGTTGCATAATTATTTAACTGTAAGAAAACTACTTTATGTGACTTCTTGATTTGTTACCAGGCCATTCCAGTTTSTGTAGAAAGTGTTTATGCTTTTCTAATGAAAGTCTCGCAGGCTCACATCCGGTGTTGTTGACGCTGCAGCAGCAGCTGGCTTTGACGCAGCTCGGAGGAGTCACCGCGCCGCCGCTCCAGCTGTTTTCACCGCTGCCTGTCCCCGCTGTTTGCCCCCTCATCTCTCTAAATGCAGCGGCGACCATCATGACAGGGGTCGCGGCCGTGTCCTTCTTCTCCAACGCGTGTAGGTTTGCCGGCTGCGGGCTTCACTTCGACTCCCTGTCGGAGCTCATCGTGCACATCGAGGATAACCACATCGGTAAGCGAGCTCGTCCGTGTAAACAGWGCGCCTTGCTGCGGTGGCCGATGGGCGGAACTAGCATCACAAAGCTAGCAGAGCTAGCAAGAAGTTACTTCCTGCGTCTTGACAACCCGGGTTGCTAGGTGTGGTGAATGTTGATGTTCATCTACTTCCTTCCTGCGCTTTTCTATCGAAAATTTTCGCAAACCTGYGACCACCGAGCCGGACGAAACAACAACCGGTTTGTTTACGTCTTGCCAGCTCGTGACAACATTTTTAACGACGTAAGGCCCACGCGCGGAGATGAATGCATCGCTTAGAAACTTGCAATCTGCACGAGCCAATCAGATTTCACTTTTGTTTTTCCTAAAGACTGGTTTCAAAACCCATCCTAGAAAGCTTTGGTGTTAAAACACTGATGTATTGAAATTATATATTTGTCATTGCAACCTTTAAACCTTATTCTAAAGTTGTTTTTGAACTTATTTTTTATTTTATAATAAAGAATTCAGGGGAAACACTGGATAATGAGACACTGAAACGCTTTGCAGAACCTGAAGAAGTTAAAAACGTTCTTTATAAGGTCCATTTTTCAATAAAGTCAATTCTACTTGATATTCTTACATACAGTGGTGGGCGGCACTACTCTAAAAATTAGTTGCACTAACCCTAAAGCACTAACTTTAATATTAGGTCCCCTAATTCTAAAGCACTAACACATTAAAAAAAATTAGCAAAAGTTAATTCTAAAGCACTAAAAACCCATCTGACCCATGGAGCATTCCTCAGAGTCAACATGAGAGTATATTTTCTGTGTGCAGAATGTTGTTAATATTTCATCTCGTGAAGTGGTTCCAAAATTTAGGGTCAGGACCTCTATATGAGCGTCCCCAGATGACATCCAGACAATAATTTAAATGCAGAAAAAAATGCTGATGGAATATTTTCATCATGATCATTACAATTTTTTTGAAATAATCATAAATGAAAAAATAGTATCAGAGTTTGTTTATAGGTATTATTCCCATGTTTGACAGAATTATTAGCAAAGTTTGCAAATGTAAACATGTCTGGGGTCACGAGTGTCTGCAGCTGTTATTTTGTGGGTTAGAAGCAAAAAGGTTTGAAAACCACTGATCTAGTATAAGTGACACACATGAACACGTGTGACAGCTTTCACCCTCAGCTGCTGACAATAATGCTGATCAATAATATTTAAAGAACTCAATTGGTGCTTATAAATTTAGCCCATAAATTTAGGAAGTTCTAATTCACTAATCAATTAAGAAATTAGCAAAAGCCCTAAAGCACCAATCAGGAAATTAGTTCCCCTATTAGTACTTTAGGGGAACTGTGCCCACCACWGCTTACATATACATTATGCATTTCCTTTTGTTTCAAAGACTGTAGAATTGGGAGAAAAAAACACTTAATATTAACTTTGACTTGTATTTAGGGATGCCTGATATATCAGCATTAATATCGGTATCGGCCGATATTGATCATTTTTTAGAATATCTTATCGGTCCGATGTGTAAAACTGGGTCAATATTAACGTCCGATATTGATTTCCCACTTTTTAGCTTTGTGTTTCTGTTTTGGGAGAGGAGATGGTTGGTTGAGTGGTATCTGATCATGATAGTGATATTGATGCTGGACAGCCAGGAATAACTGAAGTAGGGAGTCATGCAGGTCTTTTATTTACTGTTTCAAAAAAAAAGACCCAAGTGTGTTTGTACGTGTATGTTTAATGTAATTTGTGTGTTTGTGCAATATCAGTAAATGTTGGTTATAACAGCAATATTTATATTGGATATTGGTATCGGCTGGAATTTTCATATCGGTGCATTTAAAGACTTTGTAATGTGGCTAATTCACAAACAAGTGTTAGTTAAGACTTACACAACTTTAAACACCACAGACGTTAAGTAAAACCAACATCTACTTGGATATTTCATTCAGAGCAAGTCAGCAAGAACTAGTTAAGTTGAAGCAGGCTTTTAACATTAAAATATGGACTTATTTTTTCAGCCGTGGACATTTTACAACATTAACTAGAGGTCAGTGAAACATGGGGAAATTTTACATACTTTTGCACATTTCTTGCTCTCAGATTGACAAATAATGAAATTAGCCCATCTGTGTATTTTTTGACAATAATAGAGTACAAGTAGGAAAAACTGCATTTTATGTAAAAACAATGAATGCTGAGTGCTGAATGACTTAGCTGAAGAAGCTGTAACTGAGCTCTTGAGAAGCAGAATAAAAGACACAAATCTAGCTAAAACTTTAAAGAAGCAAAATATTAGCTTAAAGCCTAAATTATCTAAATCTTACCTAAAACATAAAAGTACTAAAACACTAGCAAACATTTTGAAGAGGAACATTATCTAAAAGGAGTTTACAAAGTTAAAACGGAAAAGAAACAAAGTCCTAACTAAAAGCAGCWAACCACTACCCAAAAGCAAAATGTAAAGTATGAAAGCTAAACACTAAATGTAGCAGAAGAAGACATAAATACAGCATATGTGCTGTATAACCTATATTTAGAACCATGCGTGTTTTTGAAGAAACTAAAGTATTTTCAATGTATTTCTTTAGGTAAAATATTTGCAAATTAAAAATGGTTACAAAAAAACACCGGTTTCAGCTTCAGCTAAACATTTTTGATATATGAATGGCTAAAATAGCACATGATAAAATTAATATCCAGGAAAAAATCATAAGAATAATGTGAAAGTTAAAACAATTCTCATACAATTTAAGTAACTGTAATCTCCTTGTTAAAGCAGAAATACAGTAGATATTAAGCAATTTGTATGTTGCTTTTTCTTTGACACATAAATTGAGAACTAAAAATTCTTGCCTCTAGTGCAAATTATTTTTAAGCATAAAAAAACAGCTCACACAATTTTTCTAAAGGCCCTGTCACACTAGACCACTTACGCCAACTTATGAACATTTTAAAGACATCTACGTTGAAGCTGAAATTGAAAAAATGATCAGGAAGCTTCTTTTTAGCGTGTTGCTTAACGTAATTCTAACAAATTGATCAAACATATAACTTTTATTAGCAATTTGGACATGAAAAATCTTTCATAAAATGGCCAAGTCTAGTGTGCAGGGTCTTAAACAAGCATTTCTGCGCAGAATCTTAGCTGTTCTGCACTCGAGTTGATCCTGGGATCTGTTGGAGAAATTTTCCTACTTTGAGGGGTCACCGATGACCCCTTATACAACCCTTATTTTTCTCACGTTTCTCATTCTCTTATGTCTATAACCTTGATTTTAGGTCCAATGAAAGTTTRTTTTCACATATTTTTTAATTTTAGTAAGATTCAGCCGAACATTTTAAATTCTAATAACTTTAGACAAACTATAGTGTTTTTTCCTGCCCACATGATGCATCTTGAACCGAAGAAGACTTCCTTTTTTCCCACAGTGCAACCTTTTGCTCGTTTCACCATCTGCTCCCCAGTCTAATATTTCAGTCTTCTTATTGAAGCTGACAGGCTCAGCTGTCTGCGTTGTTCTTGTTTGTTGCCTGACTTGGCTTTAATATCCTCTGCATGCTCTCAGGCTGGTGCTGGGKTGTGCATGTGTCAGAGGTGTTACCTTTAGAGAAAAAAAACAAGGACTTTCAAATGACTTATTAGGGAATAATGAAGCAATTAGTTGGCTCAAAGTGGAAAAACTTTGCCCCCCTCCTTCCCTTGTCTGCTGGCCTGCGTTGCGCTCCGAGTAGTGCGAAATCTTGAGCGTCGTGCCAAAGCGCCTGTGAAGCGTAATTACAGATGGAGTGCCTGATTTGGCATGTCTTCCTCTTCATCTGGTGGCCTGCTGCTGCTTAAAGCACATTCTCCATTATAATTAGGCGYCTGAAAATAAGCACACATTCTTGCAGATGAGCTTCACAGCCGGACCGCTGTTTGCGTCCGTGAACGACAGGTGGCGCTACTCTGCTGTCGATTTRAGAAACCCTTTTTTTCCCCACTAAATGGTTACAACAGATCCCCCTAATTTTGGCAATGCTTGTTCATAATTACTCAGTTAATAATTAATAATAACTTAATCTAAAGCTCATATATCAGTAAACTTCTACAAGTGTTGGGTGRCCCACTTTTAAGTTAATGAGCTAATGTGGCTAACTTCTATTAATCAAGGCTAAAATATATGAAGATCCGAGAGACAATGAGCCAAACTCATGGTTTTAAGTCTAAAAGATCTCAGTGTTTGCATGTGCTCATGTAGAATAAAAACCTTTACACACATAGGCACTGACATTTGTCAGTAAGCGATCCAGCCCTTTTTGATGAAAAGGAAGTTGTGATCATGGATTTAGCTCTGAGTGTGTGTTTGCCCCATGGAACTGAGCAGTGTTGTATAAAGTACCACAAAGTGATACTTGAGTAAAATTACAAGTAGCTTACCAAAAACATTACTTTGGTAAAAGTTAAAGTCTCCTTTAGGAATAAAAGACTTGTATAAGTCTTAAAGAATCAGATTTTTTTCGTACTTAAGTATTAAAAAGTATAGATTTAAAATGAGCAGTTAGATTTTACATAATGACGTTTATTAGGTGGTGACCTCCCCCCAAAAATGCAGAAATAACTGTTGTATTAAAATAATAAATTTATGTTAAATGTAGGATGCGCAAGTCTAGCTGTTTGAGTTTATACACATATATCAAGGCTGCACAAAGGTTTTCTTCAAAATGAAAATCTRTTTGAGAGCTGCGGGCAAATGTAATAATATACCGGTAATTCATGAAATACAAATACTTCTTAAGTACAGTCCTTTTATTTGAATGATTATGTCCTGCTGGAGTCGGTATCAGAATTTTATATATTTATACTTCTCATTCAACCACAGTTAAATTCACTCAATCTAAGAGGCACAGTTTATATGGATAGTATTTATTTTTTATAATAACAAGCTGGAATGAAAACAAGCAAAAATGAAATAAAAGTAACAACTTTTTACTTCTTGCCTTTTTTAAAAAAAATGTAAGGAGTAGA